AGTGGATTAATTACAATATTGGTGATGTTTTTGTGTGTGGCTCATAACACCACATGGAATTCGATCAATTAGTGGATTAAGTACAATATTGGTGATGTTTTTGTGTGTGTGGCTCATAACACCACAGGGAATTCGATCAATTAGTGGATTAATTACAATATTGGTGATGTTTTTGTGTGTGGCTCATAGCACCACAGGGAATTCGATCAATTAGTGGATTAATTACAATATTAGTGATGTTTTTGTGTGTGGCTCATAGCTCCACAGGGAATTCGATCAATTAGTGGATTAATTACAATATTGGCGATGTTTTTGTGTGTGGCTCATAGCTCCACAGGGAATTCGATCAATTAGTGGATTAAGTACAATATTGGTGATGTTTTTGTGTGTGGCTCATAGCACCACAGGGAATTCGACCAATTAGTGGATTAATTACAATATTGGTGATGTTTTTGTGTGTGGCTCATAGCTCCACAGGGAATTCGATAAATTAGTGGATTAAGTACAATATTGGCGATGTTTTTGTGTGTGGCTCATATGGTAACTAACAAAGTCCTAGCACCTAGGACTTAGTCCTAAGGAATTCGATGCAGAAATAATTAGGAATAAATAATGTTTACGAAGACGAAAAGATTCAAAAGGTAAAGAAATTTCACGATATTTTGTACAAAAACAACATTTTTTAAGCCGGGTTCCACCAACTTAGACCTTAAAAGATTTAAAATTCACAAGTATAAAACAAAGTAAAATAAAAAACAAACAAACACGAGTATTTGTTCATATCGGGTTTTACCAAATGCCCGTTTGTTTCACATTTTGAATTTTCCTGTACTAACGAGTTTTCCGCATTGTTAGCTGTACAATAACTTGGACACTTATAAAAGGTACTCCACACTCAGATGTTGTATATATATTTTTTAATCATGGTTTGTTTTTCAGTCCGACTTATCCTGTGAAAGTGGATTTTCTCGGGGTATTCCTGTTTCCCCCCACATCACGTTTTAAAGTCTATGAGTCGTAACTCATCCTCCCTGGAAAGGTGCCATCTCTTTCTCATACAAACCTTGATGTTTGGTTGTTCGTCTTCGTAGGTCGTCGTCGTCACTCTACCATTTTGTGTGTCTGTAAACTAAATACTTGCCCCGGATATAATAACTTGGACTTTAGCGATATAAGAAAACAGAAAATGAGACGCGAAGACGATTTCAAATTGACCTGTAACCATAACAACATTTATAAACATAAAATATTATGGTATATTACTGATATACTAACATGCGGAGAATATTTAATTTCTATTAAACTGAAACATACTTGTTGGGTTCCACATCGTGGAAAACCATTCGCTCGACTTATGCGTAACACGTTCACATTCCCGCCATTGCCGTCGTAGAAGCAGGTGTCATAGAACCCGTACGTGTATATACGACCGTAGAAGCCATCTGGTGTTCGAAGGGAGAACTCCATGCCATCAGGCGAACAAGACTGGCTGACTGTGAGAGATAAAATAACTGGCTTAATTTACGTTCACAACTATTTAACGTCACCTAAGTATGCTATAACAGTCATTATCTAACAATAACCAAGAAAGATTAATACTTACAACCGATAACAGCAGGATGTATACAAAGCTTAGACTGTGAAATGTTGACTGGTGTTCCGATAAGAGCAGAATGTATACAAAGCTTAGACTGTGAAATGTTGACTGGTGTTCCGATAAGAGCAGAATGTATACAAAGCTTAGACTGTGAATTGTTGACTGGTGTTCTGATAAGAGCAGAATTTATACAAAGCTTAGACTGTGAAATGTTGACTGGTGTTCCGATAAGAGCAGAATGTATACAAAGCTTAGATTGTGAAATGTTGACTGGTGTTCCGATAAGAGCAGCATGTATACAAAGTTTAGACTGTGAATTGTTGACTGGTGTTCCGATAAGAGTATAATGTATACAAAGTTTAGACTGTGAAATGTTGACTGGTGTTCGGATAAACGAGCGAAGCTACTCAAGACCTTCCCAATTTTGAGTTGATACACTAGAGGGAGCCCAAAAAACAATCTCATGGACCCCCCTCCCTGCTTAGACAGGTCTATCATGGGAAGACGGTCTTACAGTTTATATATAAAATATGTATATGTATCAAAGTGACACCGACAGACATAAACTAGCCACTGACGTTTTCAAATAAAATATTTTTATTTAACCAATCATGCTATTGTTTTTTAAAATTATGATATAGTATATTTGTTGCTGATTTTCACGCTAAGCTATTCGGATGTTATTAGCGCTATCCGTCCCTATCCATGATGGACCAGACTAGAGGGAAGGAAACTACTCAATACCTGCGGCTGCCAACTCTTAGGCTACTCACTTACCAGCAATAGTGGGATTGACTGTGACATTATAACGCTACAACAGTTGAAGGGACGAGCATATTCGGTGACGGATTTCGATCCCGTGTCTCGCAGATTGCGAGTCGAGCGTCCAAACCATCAGGCCATGCCAGGCCCATTTTATTAACATCGAGATATTTAGACCTAAGTGTTAGATACAAGAAATCTCTAAACGGGGGAGCAAGTGTAGCTAGAAAGGGGTGCAGGCGTAGGTAGATATCTATAAAGGGGCGCAGGCGTAGGTAGATATCTATAAAGGGGTGTGGGCGTAGGTTGATATCTATAAAAGGGGTGCAGGCGTAGTTTGATATCTATAAAGGGGGTGCAGGCGTAGGTTGATATCTATAAAGGGGTGCAGGCGCAGGTTGATATCTATAAAGGGGTGTTACTTCTAGAGGAAAAATAATTGAGTGGCGAAGCCTCATCTCAAAAGATGTTTGTAGCTGAGACTGTACACCTACATGAATATGGGTGCAATTTTGGGGGTGAGATCGCACCTGTCCCACACCCCACCCTACTTACTCATGTGAAATACAGACACTAGTTTTCTTGTCAGTAATTAAGAGTGATCTCAGTTATCAATATAAATCAAAATGTCGGTTTTTTCTTTGTGTTTTTTTTCATGTCCAACCTTTGTTTCATTTTGTTAACGTGTTGAACTGACCATCATATCACCGATAGCCACAGAATATCCTGATATTTATATCTTAGCTCTTTCACCAGGTCGTGGGGAAAGGATTATCCCAATGGCAAGTTCTGTACTTTGGAAGTGGTGAGCCGGGTTCGATTCTGTATGAACCTAGCTTTAAGCTGTGGGTGTGTTATAAGGGTGACAGTCAATTCTTTAGTGTGGTTGGTAGGGTGCTGTTGACTGGCTGGCCCTCTGGTCAATTGTACAAAATCAGGAACAGCGGCAGATTGCCATAGATACAAGACAGAAATTTATTGGGCTGTACTTAAGACGTATGGAGTTACTTTCATCTGGATATCACTTTATTTGTTAAAATATACCGACGGCAAAAGAAAAATCCTAAAAATATGTGATAAGAAAATATATAAAAACAAAACCTCACCATCCAGACAGTGACGACCTGATCTCGAACTGTCTCGCTCGTAATAGTCGAACTGAGTGTTGTCGTCAAAATGGCTCGGGTTACTCAGCTGAACCTTAGTAGTATCAGTATCGCTCAGTTCGCAGTTCTCAGGAGAGAAAGGCCTGTTGAAGAAAGGGCAACGGCTGTTAGGTTATAAATTAACTACGCAATTCATTAATTACCTCTGAATGGACGCATGCGCTTTTTTTTACGATTTTGTTGTAAACCGTACGTTGACTACTTTTGAACTTGTAGTTGACATATCACGTGAATAGACATTTTAACTAAAGAGTTTCAACTAATTTCATTGGTTCAAAGTCAAATCTAAATCATGGGAAAATGGTAAATTATTGGTTGATTTTAAATACACGCTAGTGACATACATTTTAACTAAAGAGTTTCAACTAATTTCATTGGTTCAAAGTCAAATCTAAATCATGGGAAGATGGTAAATTATTGGTTGATTTTAAATACACGCTAGTAACATACATTTTTATTATGAGAATCGTAGTCATGATAAATATTTATTGAATGTATGAATGGAATAGATAACTTTAACAACTACTAAACGAAAGGAATCAGTCAACAAACAGATAAAACTACTACCACTTATACTATATAGGTTCCTGAAATTATAGACTAGGTTACAAAATCACCAAGTTTTATATATTTTTGTTGCTGGAAGATGATGTCTCAATAAAGCGCTCTTCGTCAGATCGTAAACTTTAGGACCAACGTTACAATCTAACAAAGATTGTTAGCTCTAATCGCCATTTTCTCCAGAAATAAATATATTTAAAATTTAACGAGTTTGTTAGCTATTCTTTAATTTATTTATATTTGTCGCCTATGCGGTTGACCATGTTTACTCCTGAAACTAAGACTTTGTCACGCCAGAAAGTGGTGAAGAAAATGCCAGCAAATTTAACTAAATAACTTCCCTATAAGTGATATTATAATTCATGCATCTCGTGGAATTAGTTAAGCCTAATTACTTTTATTACGTGGAATTAGTTAAACTCAATTATTAACATTACGTGGAATTAGTTAAGCCTAATTATTAGCATTACATTACGTGGAATTAGTTAAACCCAATTATTAGCATTACATGGAATTAGTTAAGCCTAATTATTAGCCTTACGTGGAAATAGTTAAGCCTAATTATTAGCATTACATTACGTGGAATTAGTTAAACCCAATTATTAGCATTACGTAGAATTGGTTAAGCCTAATTCTGGTTATGACGTTGAATTAGTTAAGCTCAAATATTGTCATTACGTGGAATTAGTTAAGCCTAATTATTTCCATTATCAGAGACGGACTCAATTTACTCATGATTTAAACAATCTTCCTTAACTTAATTGAATAATTATAAACTCTTTTTTGATGTCACAGTCTCTCAGCTACAAGAAAAAATTAAGTTATTAAGTTAGTAATTGAGCTGATTTCAAGTAATTCACTCTATTTATGCAAAATAGTTTACTTAGCCCATTTAGAACATGATAATTTAGTTCTAAGTGTTACCTATCCTAGCACATGATAATTCAGTTCCAAGTGTTAGCTATCCTAGCACATGATAATTCAGTTCCAAGTGTTACCTATCCTAGCACATGATAATTTAGTTTCAAGTGTTACCTATCCTAGCACATGATAATTTAGTTCCAAGTGTTACATATCTTAGCACATGATAATTCAGTTCCAAGTGTTAGCTATCCTAGCACATGATAATTCAGTTCCAAGTGTTACCTATCCTAGCACATGATAATTTAGTTTCAAGTGTTACCTATCCTAGCACATGATAATTTAGTTCTAAGTGTTACCTATCCTAGTACATGATGATTTAGTTCTAAGTGTTACCTATCCTAGTACATGATGATTTAGTTCTAAGTGTTACCTATCTTAGCATATGATAATTCAGTTCCAAGTGTTACCTGAAGTTAAAAGATCTGCAGTCGAAGTCACGTGTTTCGATGCACTCATGCTCACAGTCTTCCACCCTGTCGACTCGCACCACCCGACGGATATAGAAGCTTCGTAATCTTTGTCCAAAACCAACTCTCTGGAACACATCACTCCCTGGTCCACCACCGTGATCCGTGCATGTAGGATAACCAAGTCCTCCTGGTCCTGGTGGAATAGGTGGACCAGGGAGTCTAGGAGGATATATCGAGTTAGGACTCGGAGGTGGTAGAGGAGGAGGAGGGCCAGGGGGGTAGCTTCCACCACCGCTACGTGACCCACCATAATGCCCACCGCCATACGACCAACCATAACCAGTTCCACCATAACCACTTCCTCCGTGTGACCCACCATAACCACCTCCACCGTGTGACCCACCATAACTGCTTCCTCCGTGTGACCCACCATAACTGCTTCCTCCGTGTGACCCACCATAACTGCTTCCTCCGTGTGACCCACCATAACCACTTCCTCCACCATGTGACCCACCATAACCAGTTCCACCCTGTGACCCACCATACCGTGTCTCCCACCATAACCACCTCCACCGTGTCTCCCACCATAACCACTTCCGACGTGTGACCCACCATAACCACTTCCGCCATGAGACCCACCATAACCCCTTCCGCCGTGTGACCCACCATAACCACTTCCGCCGTGTGACCCACCATAACCGCCTACACCACGCGACCAGTCATGACCACCACCGTAGTTTCCTTCATAAGTACCGCCATGTCTTTCACTGTATCTGTCTTCGTGAAGTGGTGGAGGTGGATTTGGGTGCCAGCCTCCTCCTGTTCTACCGTCGTTCCATCCTCCTCCCTTTTGACCAACATCAAACCTTCCATCGCCGCGATCTGGTGAAACATAAGAAACGTGTTATTAAAACTCAGACGATCCTGCTTTTATATAAAAGTCAAACAAAACAAATTTAATTGTAGACTATGGTCATGAATTGGTACTTTAACTTCTACTTGAGTGACATCTGTCGTACATTAAGTGGTACAAAGCTACACCTATCGTACATTAACTGGTACAAAACTTCTACTTGAGTGACATCTATCGTACATTAACTGGTTCTAAACTTCTACTTGGGCGACACCTATCGTACATTAACTGGTGCAAACTTCTACTTGAGTGACATCTATCGTACATTAACTGGTACTAAACTTCTACTTGAGTGACACCTATCGTACATTAACTGGTACAAACTTCTATTAGAGTGACATCTATCGTACATTAACTGGTACTAAACTTCTACTTGAGTAACACCTATCGTACATTAACTGGTACAAAACTTCTACTTGAGTGACACCTATCGTACATTAACTGGTACAAAACTTCTACTTGAGTGACATCTATCGTACATTAACTGGTACTAAACTTCTACTTGAGTGAAACCTATCGTACATTAACTGGTACAAAACTTCTGCTTGAATGGCACCTATCGTACATTAATTGGTACTAAACTTCTACTTGAGTGAAACCTATCGTACATTAACTGGTACAAAGCTACACCTATCGTACATTAACTGGTACAAAACTTCTACTTGAGTGTTAATGTACGATAGGTGTCACTCAAGTAGAAGTTTAGTACCAGTTAATGTACGATAGATGTTTGGTACTAAACTTCTACTTGAGTGTCACCTATCGTACATTAACTGATACAAACTTCTACTTGAGTGACATCTATCGTACATTAACTGGTACAAAACTTCTACTTGAGTGACACCTATCGTACATTAACTGGTACAAATCTTTGGGGGGAGTGAGGGCAGTCTTAAATGAATAAAAAGTTTCTGACAATGAAAAACACGCTTTCAAATATTATTAATGAATTTCACAAATTAACAAGTTCTATATTATACATACAGGATAAAATTTAACCATTTGTTGTGTACTATAAAATCATATATCATACAAATCATACTAATGTTTCATATAATAACCAGCATATACATCGTATGGATCCACAAAAAAGTTGTTGTTCTTTGTAATTAAGCACAAAGCTACACAGTGGGCTATCTGTGCTGTGCCCACCACGGGTATCGAAACCCGGATTCTAGCGTTATAAGTCCGCAGACATGCCGCTGTGCCACTGGGGGGGGGGCGCTAAAATAGCAAAAGCTTTCTTGTGTACAGACATTCTTCGAAACTCGAAACGTGTTATCATCATTAATTAATTATTAATTTCTAGATAGTTAAAACAATAGTAAGATATTTTGTTTATCGCCAGGAAAAATTTAAATTATGATTACTAAAATTTAGTAGATTAAATAATTATTTAAATATTTACTAAAACCGCCTGCATGTACCAATATTCCTTTTATTATTATATCCGCCATTAATCTTTATTAGTCTAAAGTTAGAAGTCTATATTTTTAAATCGATTGTGAAAAATGTGTCCCTTCTGCAATATTAAACTGAGGAAATAAAGGTGGCGTTTAAAAAACATCGATAAATGTGATTTAATCTGAATGTTTACCTCTTATTATTCACAGCGATTCAAGTGAAGACTGTTTTTATTTTTGAATATATAATACTTGTGGTAAATAGACAATTCCATGAAGTTATGTAGAAGAAATAATGTTTAAGTCTCGAAGAGCTCTGGAAAAAAATATCGTTTTTTCACTGCGAATAAATCATCCCATGTCAAGCACAAACTGGGAACATTAATTTTGTAAATCTTAAATTATGCGATGAAATGCGTACTCGTATATTTCAAATTAACTCGACCAAAAAACAATAACAACAAAATCATAAATTTCTAAATTTTATCTTACTTAAACATTCATAGAACAACATAGGAAAGGATGTCCTGCTACTACTTAATATGCTAAGACAATCCATTGCAAAGAGAAATATTTCCAGATATCATTTGTACAGTCGGTTCTCCTTTTATATACAACTAGCGCCATCTATTGGTAGCAACTTATACTAACTATTTTGGATGATGACTTAAACTACAAAGACAAATTTGTACTTACACCATCTGAATTCATAGTAATCGTAAAAATCGTCGTCGACGAGATTAGGTTTAGATGCTCCCCAGCCTCGTTCGTAGCTACTGAACCTACAGGAATGGTAGCGGGAACTGAACTCGACGGAACGACAATCACGACCGTAACGACGCATACAGTAATCTAAACACTCTTGGAAGGAGTAGGACGTGATCTCGTTTTCGTGGGATCCGTCCAATCTCTTCCGTCGGAAGCGTTCCAGAGTGGCATTGTTGAACAGAGAATCTGGATATAAGCATATAAACATGAAGTGATGAATACCTGCATGCTATTTTTTCTCCATTAACTTAACATGTTGAGCTTGGAATGAGTTGGTGGTTCAACAACAAAGAAACAGGTGTACTTATTTCTTCGAACCAAGAGCAATTCGACAAGCAAAAAAAAAGACCTGTGTTTGATTAAAAGAGGTTAAATTTAAATCATTATTTTAAAGTGTATATTTTTGTTAGAAATATTGTAAATGACGCATATTTTCAGCACTCTGGAACCGACAATTTACCTTATTTACAGCTAGAAAAGTTAGAAACTGGAACCTCAAGTATCGTGCGCCCAAATAAAACAACATTATTTTGAGAGATTTTGAAAACAGCTGAACATTAAAAATGAACGCCACAATAGAAGAGCTTAGATGTTGAAACAAACATGAAACTTCTACTGGGATGGTACAGAAGTAAACAATAACATGAAACTTCTACTGGGATGATACAGATGTAAACAATAACATGAAACCTTTACGGGGATGGTACAGAATTAAACAATAACATGAAACTTCTACTGGGATGGTACAGAATTAAACAATAACATGAAACTTCTACTAGGATGGTACAGATGTAAACAATAACATGAAACTTCTACTGGGATGGTACAGATGTAAACAATAACAAGTTTCATGTTATTGTTTACATCTGTACCATCCCAGTAGAAGTTTCATGTTATTGTTTACATCTGTACCATCCCAGTAGAAGTTTCATTTACTGGGATGGTACAGAAGTAAAACAAGACATTAATATACCTCGTTCCTGAGTTCCACAAAGAACTCTGAAATAATTCCCGCTGCTGCCTCTGAGAGAGTCGTTACCATCTTTGTACTCAGCTGGATCTTCATCATACAACAGGCACGTGCCAGATTTGTCGTCAAAGACAAAGGACCTGCAGAGGAATCCACGTCCCTCCAGGCTGTTTGTACAAAGGGTCGAACACTTGTTGTAATCATTGACCTTGACTAAGTCCCGGTCATAAGCGCCATCAAGCTCCTTCCCAGCTTCCATAATGAAAGCTTTCGTGGAGCAGATCAGGGAGTCTTGGTTCATTGGAGAAAATAAAGATGAAATACAATTAATATATTTTTGTCGTCTAATTTATTAATAATACATGAACAAACACCTGCTTTCAACATTATGGTAACAATGACAATATAATAATAATAAAAGTACATAATTACAGACACTATTTAAACCTTAAAGAAGTCAGTGAGAGTTGAAATTTTACCATTTTCAGCGATATTATTGTTCAAACATTACAAATATTAGCAGACACGCCGCCCTAATCGTACCTCATTGAAAACAAGTTAGAAAAAGTGAAACACTTTCTAGAAATGGACTTTTCTGGGAAGTACTGCGCGGGAAGAGTGTTCGTATTGTGTTGATATAAACCATTGTTTTATATATTAAAAGTGGTACCGTTTATTGAAAAAATAACATTTTTTAAACACTACATTTTTAGTACTATGTTTACAAATTACATCAACAAAGATGTAATCAAACCCTCACGTGGAGTCCTATTAAAAGTTGTGTTCTTGTTGTGAGGAGAGTAGTTTTATTTAAAATTGTGTTGTGTGATAAAGAAATGGTTGTTACACATACCGTAGTTATTTTTCTAATTGTCTGAATCTGGAATACACGAAGTGTGAAATGTTTTATGGAGTTTTGTTTGTGGTGCCCTTCAATAGATGGCGCCACATTGTATTTACTATTTCAGTCTCATACATAGAGAGATACATATATACACGCTACGTCCATTATACTAAGATTTATAGAATTAGTTTAAAATGTAGAGATGCTATTCATTTTCTCTCCCTGGTGACAAATATTAAATTTCTTTATGATTTACTTGTGTTAAATATTTGGCGGGTTGTCAATGGACCAATGAAATAATATAACAATAATTTAATTCAAGGAGTTTCTGTTTATAGTTTCCAGTTCATTGTTGAGAAAAAAAAGGTCTTTCCAAGAATTTTCGGGGTTATTGTCTTAGTTTCATTCTGACATAATAATTGGGAGTACTTATGCTCAATCTTATGGTCCATACTTATATAAACCATATGGTTACATATAATAGCGTCAGTCAGTACAATATGGTTGCATATAATAGTGTCAGTCAGTACAGTATGGTTACATATAATAGTGTCAGTCAGTATAGTATGGTTACATATAATAGTGTCAGTCAGTATAGTATGGTTACATATAATAGTGTCAGTCAGTATAGTATGGTTACATATAAGAGTGTCAGTCAGTATAGTATGGTTAAGTATAAAACGTCAGTCAATGAAGTAGGTTACGTGGACTTAGACATGCCTCAAAGTGCTCCATGTAATACATATTTAACAATATATCTCACATAATAATTAAGCCTAATAATGGCTGATGGCTCCAACGTCGCGTGAATATATAGCGTTCTTTAACTCACCTGGAAGACACAGATTTTCCATGTAGTCGCTGTTGGCGTCTTCTTTGTAAGCAGTGGGATTCATCTGTTTCGTCTGTTTACTTAATTTACATAACTGCCTTGCGCTGTCGAACGTTGCAGACCGGCATAAAGTGTCGTTCAAACACTTGTCTTGACACTCGGCTCGATTGGCAGCAAACACTTCGTCTCCTTCACCATCGAAACGAAATCCGGGCGTTCTCTCGAAAACATAAAGTCTGTTGGAGCATTCCTGGCGAAGTTTCGGAGCTACAAAAATAGAAAACTTCTTAAAGTTCCGGAACTCACCATAGTTTTATATTTCATAAAGTTTCAGAAGATCATCATAGTTTTAGACATATTTCCTAGTTTCAAAAGCTCGCCATATATTAGAAACATTTCCTAGTTTCAGAACTCGCCAGAGTTTTTTGAAATATTTCTTAAAGTTTCAGAAGCTCACCATAGTTTTTGAAATATTTTTTAAAGTTTCAGAAGCTCACCATAGTTTTAGAAATATTTCTTAAGGTTTCATAAGCTCGCCATAGTTTTATAAATATTTCTTAAAGTTTCAGAACTCGCCATAGTTTTAGAAATATTTCTTAAAGTTTCAGAAGCTCGCCATAGTTTTAGAAATATTTTTTAAAGTTTCAGAAGCTCACCATAGTTTTAGAAATATTTTTAAAGTTTCAGAAGCTCACCATAGTTTTAGAAAAATTTCCTAGTTTCAGAACTCGCCATAGATTTAGAAATATTTTTTAAAGTTTCAGAAGCTCACCATAGTTTTAGAAATATTTTTAAAGTTTCAGAAGCTCACCATAGTTTTAGAAATATTTTTAAAGTTTCAGAAGCTCACCATA